TTTTAATAACAAATATGTTACGCAGAAAAATAAATTGAACAACATTTGTTTCATCATTACATCCAAATTCTTTACCAAATTCGAAATAAAACTAAAATACAAAAAATAAATAATAATGATAAAAAATATAAAAAATGAAAAAAGAATGAGTGAGTGGGCGAGCACGTTTTTTACACCACCATCTTTGACGATTTTTCATGTTTTTTTGGCTTAGTCAAATACCCCAAAAAAAATAATAGATGTGTATTTCACACCATTAAAAAAAAAAAAAAAAAAAACCTTAATAATAATAATCATAATAATAAATTTGTGGGATGATTTGTAAAACACCCTTGTAAGTTGAGGTATATACCAAAGTGCCCCTATAAGATGTGGGTAGAGCGAAATGTTATTTTTGGCTTAATACTTTGCGTTTTGTCGTCGCCATGCCCATGTCTAAATTTGCAATCTATACCTCGTTGTTGGAGTTTGGGTCTGTACCCTGTTTTGCCCGGTTTGCCCTCCATACCGGGTGGGCAACTTTGCGCAATACCCAGACTCATCGGGTTGTCCCTAAAATTGTTTAGGCCACGAAAAAAAATCAAAATAAGAAGTGAAAAGAGGGAAACAAAAAGTAGTGGGTGGGCGAGCACGTTTTAACACCGCCATCTGTGGCGGTTTTTCATTTTATTCTGCCTTAGCAAAATGCCTTTAAACACTATGGATCCAATTTTTGTAACATATCCAATGGTTGTAGTGGTTACTGACTTCATTATTAACGATGAGGGTGTCCGTTCAAGGCCATGCGTGCACGGCGGGGCCTGATGCCCTAAACCCACCTGGTTGATTGACTATTTTGAAGGCGTTTGTGAAACCCGCAGACAGTTGGTCTGCCTTGGAGTGACCAGATTAAGTAGCGGTGGTAGAGTTGCGTGTTGTTCGAGCGGCGTGTGTTGATTGTCGTGTCCGTGGTGTGGTGTTGTGTATGTGGTGTTGTGTACGTAGTGTTGTGTATGTGGTGTGTGTTCAAGGACACTACAAACCTGGATGTAGGTTGGATATCACAACCGGTATGGATCCAATTTTATTTTAATAACACCTCAAAGGGTTATAGTGGTTACAAGACTTCGTTCTTGAGGGTGCGGGTGTCGGTTCGAGACCGTGTGTGCACGAAAGGGTCTGATGCTCTAAACACACGCTGTTCAATAACTGCTGTGAAAGCATCAATGGAACCAGCGGACAGTTTGTCTACCTTGGAGTGATCAAGTTAAGTAGCGGTGGCGGGTTTGCGTGTTGTCCGAACGGAGTGTGTTGATTGTCGTATCCGTGGTGTGATGTTGTGTGTGTGGTGTGGGTTCAAGGACACTACAACCCAGGAGGTGGGTTGAATATCTCAACCAATTTGAATCCAATGTTTATAACACCTTCAAGGGTTGTAGTAGTTACTATACTTCATTCTTGAGGCTGAGGATGCCAATTCGAAGTCGTGCGTGCACGGCGGAGCTTGATGCACTACACGCAAGTTGTTTAGTAACTATTATGAAGACGTAAGTGGAACAGGCGAACAGTTGGTCCACCTTGGAGTTACCAAGTTAAGTAACGGTGGTGGGGCTACATGTTGTTCGAGCGGAGTGTGTTGACTGTCGTGTCCATGGTGTGGTGTTATGTGTGTGGTGTGAGTTAAAGGTCGCCACATCCCTGGAGGTAAGCTGAATATTACGACTTGTATGAATCCAGTTTTTATAATACCTCCAAGGGTTATAGTGGTTACAAAACTTTGTTCTTGAGGCTGACGGTGTCAGTTGGAGGCAGTGCGTGCATGACGGGGGCTTGACGCTTTAAACACACGTTGTTCGGTAACTTGTGTACCTCACATCATAAG